GTTATGACCCCGTTTCTACACGGGTTATTGTTACAAGCTATACAAACAGGAAATGAAAATGATCACTTGAGTCGTTTTTAGTCAAGCAATCAAATGGAGAAGTCTGGTTCAAGCGCTCCATTGAAATAGTTGCATTTTCCCCAGAGTTTGCCGGAGGTGTCTTTGAAAAGTCTTATTTTCTTGTCTTTCCATTTTATATGTCCATATATGATTGCCAGAAACAATTGTTTGGATGTAGACACTTTAATTTTAGTGAAGTGGTTCTTGTTTGCATCAAGTATCCCCCTGAATTTCTTTATAATCAGTGGCCTAATTCATTGGCAGCCTGAAGTATTTTTTAGTGCTAATGCCATACAAAACGTTTATATTGCGTAAATTTACTATGTAATAATTGACACCTAGAATCTACAACAAGGATGTGTGTCTAGAGTATTAAGAGGGAAAATGATTTCATTGCAGAGGAAGCTTTGATGAACCCGCCTCCAAGTTCTGCGTTGCTTGTGTGACAGAAGCATTTGATTACCTACATCGACTAGGTATTATCTACAGAGACCTGAAACCAGAAAACTTAATTCTAGATGCTGAGGGCTATCTTAAATTGGTAAGACAAGTTCTGCAACTTACAGTATCGTATGAGGTATTTCTAAAGACAAAGCTGTGTTACAGTTGCAATTCTCTTTTAATTTTGGTACATTTGTTATTGTCACTTCGGGGGATATGGCCTTTGAAATCAGCACACTTAACACAGGGAGCTATGCTACAAGTACATTCTTTTTGGCCTAGGCATTGAAGGTTTCAACCATATTTGTGACTCCTACTAAGGATTCAAATAATAGAATGCCTTTAAAATTGGATTTTGTTAGCATTTTTATATAATTTCAGGTAGGTTTTAATAAATTCCTGCTACATATAGGGATTAGCTATGAGGAATAAGGAAAGAAGATAGTACGGTTTCTGTCCCAAGACAGCCACTGTCTGTAGAGGGGGAAAAGATACACATGTGAAGGTTGGTAGTTTAAAAAAATATTTGTGAGTGATTCTAAGGTACAACCAGGGTTGAGACTCAGAAAACAAGACTATAGTTTCCTTGAGGACAGAGACTTTCCTTGCCATGCATCTTTGTAACGGATAGCATGCCTAACATGAATCCCCTTGCATGTCGCACAACAGAAAACAATGCTACCAGTCATGTAAACTGCTTCTGGTGCAAAACTGTAAGAGAAATGGGCAGTCATAATAGTAGAAAGCAGGCATTTTGGATCTCAGGAGGGAACCTCATCAGGATGGGGAACCCAGGATGAATTTTCCCTGAGTCCATTTTGTCAGGAGCTCAAGGACGTTAAACCATCTCTGAAGTTAACATTTACAAAGGTATTAGAAGTTTCTAATAACAGAACTTTTTTTATATGGAAATAATAATAGCTACCATTTAAAGTGTAAAGCTGTTCTAAATAAACATTTTGCAGTTAACATATTTAACAATTGATGAGATGGGTTTTATCATCCACATGTTATAGTATTCAATTTAACCTTAGGAATTAAATTCACGATGTGTAATTGCTAGGTGATTTCTCTCCATAGTGAAGGAGTAAAGTAAGTCCTTTCATGTGAAATCTGGCTAACCTCCAAGAAACATTTTGATGCATTCAGGCTTTATTTTATCCATGAAAGACAGCTTTGGGAACTGGTGAGGTACTAACACAAGGCCTTAATCACTTGTCTCCTTCACAATTCCTTCATTGGCTATGCCTCTTACAGCTCTTTAGAAAAACCTTTTGGAATAGTCTAGAAGTAAAACCATCATGAAGGATGTAGATTGTCCATTAAATTCATTCTTTTTTTTCTATTCAATTTTTTTTTTTTTTTGGAGTATAGTTACTTTACAATGGTGTGTTAGTTTCTGCTGTACAATGAAGTGAATCAACTATATGTATACATATATCCCCTCCCTCTTGGACCTCCCTCCCACCCCACCCCCATCCCACCCATCTAGGCCATCACAGAGCACCGAGCTGAGCTCCCTGTGCTATACAGCAGGTTCCCACTAGCTATCTGTTTTACATATGGTAGTGTATACATGTCAATGCTGATCTCCCAATTCGTCACACCCTCCCCTTCCCCACTGTGTCCACATGTCTGTTCTCTACTTCTGCATCTCTGTTCCTGCCCTGCAAAAAAGTTCATCTGTACCATTTGTCTGGATTCCACATATATGCATTAAAGTATGATATTCGTTTTCTTCTTTTCATACCTATTTTTAAGAAATCAGGTTAGTATATTCAGTATTTATAGGCATAGACGTCCGTAACCATCTCTTCCGTTAGCCATTGTTATCCATCAGCTAACTCATTTGACAACCAGCTAAGTGAAGAGGAATAACTAAAGCCTTTAGAAATTAAAAAGTAAATGTTGAGTATTTCCATTTCTAGCTATATATCAAACCAGACATATTGAAATTCTCTTACTACAAAATGTCTCAAGTACTGGAGGAAACATAAAAAGCAGTATTATATGCCTGGCTGACTTTATAAGACAGCACTGGGAGCCCCCTGAGGCCGAGAACCAAACTTGGGCAGTAGTGAAGGGTGGAACTCAAACATTGAAGCTGCTGTCTTGTGGGCACCCAGCAATCCTAGGTGGCCTAGAGGTTTTATTTTAATTGGTGTACCTTCTGGGAACAGGAGACCAAGTTTTGGACCTGGGCAGTGTGGAAAGTTGAATCAGAGAACATTGTCAAGAGCCAGGAATCATACAGGTTGTACTTTCAGAGAAAAAGAAAACAGGGGGAAAATCTAATGTCTAAAGGCAGAGTACATGCAAGAAAACATGCTTTTCTCATTATAGGGCTCTTGGTAGAGGAACAAAAGAGTCTAAGAATACTTGGCCACAGGCTGGTCTTCATGGGGTTTTGGATGCCCAGTCTTCAAGGATGGAGAACCCCAAGAAAAAATTTAAATGAAAATGGATCCATGTTGGTAGCATGCCCAAGTTTCCACGAATCAATGTATATCCTCTCTGGAAGAATGTTCTCTCAACTTAGGATACAGAGAACTCCCAGAGATAAACTTCCAGGGAATATAAGCTCACATTAAAAAATAATGTTTATATGCATGAGGAAAAAAGGTGCCAGGAACATTATTTGGCAGGCACATAAAAGTCTCATATATTGCAGTAATCAGATACAAAATATAAAATAAATACATCTAAGTCTTTTAAAAGTAAGAGAGGGACTAACAAATGAGTAAGGAACAGAGACTCTCAAAAAGGATCTAACATGTTTAGAAAAAAAATAACAAATAAAACTTCTATTAAGAAATTAAGAATATAATCATTGAAATTAAATATTCAATGGAAGTTTTTATTAATGGTAGAGTAGCTTGCATTGGACTAATCTCCTTGCTGAGGTTAATTATAATATATGTATAAAAATGTGTGAAAGCATTGGAGAGCAACAAGAAATAGACATTCAAACCTTGAAAACAGGGAACCACACTGGGTGAAATCCATATTAATACAGCTGTTCATTTCAAAGCACTCTTTATTGTATAAGGTATGAAGAATAAACTTTAGTTAACATCATACCTGACAGTGAAATACTGAATATTTTCCATTTAGATTATGAGCAAGATTATTTTCTTTCGCTACTTTTTTTCAAAATCGTAACAGAGGTCTTAGCAAAAGAAATAGAACACAAAAAAGCAAAAGGAAAGGCTAAAGATTAGAAAGGAAGAAGTTACCTGTCTTTATTTGCAGACAATATGGTTGTTTATGTAGAAAAGAATGAGGAATCTACCAACAAGTTCTGGAAAGAATAAGTAAATTAAGCACAATTACAGGTACAAAGTCAATATACAAATAAAAATTTAATTTTTATATACTAGCAGTAAATATTTATAAATGAAATTAAAATGCCATTTGTGATATCAAAACATAAAATAAATTAAATGTGTAAGACCTCTACATTGAAAACTGCAAAGTTTTATTGACAGAAAAATGACTAAATGGTAAAATACACTATGTTCATAAATCATATAACTCAGTATTTCATAAGATGTTCAGTCTTGTCCAGTTGATCTACAGATTGAAGACCAATGCAATAAAAATTGGAGCAGCCATTTTTAGAAACTGAGATGTTTATTCTAAAATTTACACAGAAACACAGTTTAGAAGAGTCAATAACCACTCTGAAAAAAGAAGAACAAAATTGAGGAGTTTATAATATCTGATGTCAGACTCACTATAAAGCTATAGTAATCAAGGTAGTGTGATAATGGTGTAAGGAGAAATTACTTAATCTAACAGAATAAAGTCCAGAAATAGACATACACAGTCAACTGATTTTTAGAAAAAAATGGAAGGGCTAGTCTTCTCAACAGATATTGCTGAAACAATTGGATATATATGGTCAAAAAAAGGAACATGACTCCCACCCCACACCATATAAAAAAATTAATTCAAGATGGATCATGGACCTATAAAGCACCCAGAAGTAAGCATAGAGTAATATCTTCACAACATGGGCTAGGCAGAGATTTCTTAGAACACAAGTAGTAGTAAGCTTGAAAAGTTCAGGCTACTATAACAAAAATACTGTAGACTAGGTGGCTTAAACAACAATTTATTTAGTTCTGGAAGCTGGAAAGTTCAAGGTCAAGGTGCTGGCTGATCTGGTGTCTGGTCAGGGCCAACTTCCTGGCTTATAGAGAACTGTCTTCTCTTTTCTTCACATGGGAGAGAGACACACAGAGAGAGGGCTCTCTACTATCTCTTCTTATAAGGGTACTAATTCCATCATGGGGGTTTCACCCTCATGACCTAATTATCTCCCAAAGGCTTTACCTCCAAATTCCATCACACTAGGGATTAGGGTTTCAACATATAAATTTGGGGAGGGGAGATACAAACATGCAGTCCACAATAATTGGACTTCATCAAAATTAAAACATTCTCATCATCAGAATATACTGTTAAGAAAATGAATAGCCATGCCATAAACTAGTAGAAAATATTTGCAATATATCATTACATGACAAAGGACTTGTGTCCAGAAATATATAAAGAACTCAGTAAGAAAAGACAAACAACCCAGTTTTTAAAAATGATCAAAGATCTTGAAAAATCACTTTACAAGAGAAGACATAGGAATGATCAATAGACAATATCAATAGTCATTAGGAAACACAAATAAAAACCACAAAGATGTGACATTGCACATCCACTAGAGTGACTATAATTTAAAAGACTGACAATACCAAGTGTAGGTGAGGAAACTTTCCTAAATTTCGAGTGGGAAAGCAAAATTATAAACTGTTTGAAGAATAATTTGTCAGTTTCTCATAGAGTCAAACATACCCCTATTCTACAACCAGAAATTCCACTCCTTAGTAGAAATTCCACTCCTTGTTATTTATCCAGGGAAACTGAAATCGTGTTTTCAAAATTCTTGGACAAGAATCTTCATAACAACTTTTTCCTGAAAGCCCCCAAATCAGAAGGAGCCCAAATACCCATCATCAATTCAATGTATAAACATATAGTAGTATATTCATCAATGGAACTCTCCTCAACAGTATAAAGCAATGAATTACTACAGGCAACAAC